TTTACTTTATACTTCCCCGACCCCGAAGAACCAGCCTGAGGATTCTCGGGAGCAGGGCGACGACGAGGCATCTCTAAGAAAGTGAGAAAGTGGAGGGTGTTTTTTTCTTAAAAATCCCTGAGGAAGCTTCCCGAGGATTAGTCGCTAAGTATCAACCGGAGACACCTCCAGTCATCGGAAAACAAAAAGGGATAGGAGGAAGAAAAGAAGAAAGATACTAGAACTCACCCGAATGTCAAACGGAGTTTTTTCTGGAAAACTTTAAAGCGACTCCTTCCAGAAAGTTCAGAAGCAACGATGGGTCTGCTGGCCTTAGGACTTTAAGGAAGAATGGGCAGTTGACGATGGAAGAGGAAAGAGATCTCCGGCGAAGATTCAGGAAAAGGCTCTCTTGAGGAAGTTCGGAATGGCGAAACAAGAAAATGGAAGAGGAGCCCCATTTATATAGTGGCTGTTTCATCATTGGGCGCGAAAAACGAAACGGCGCATTTAATGCACACGACATCCCAAGCCGGGGAAAGCGGCTCGAGGCAATGATGAAGCATTTGTGGTTGTTGGGAAACCCTTCGTCTCCTTACGACGCGTGCCCTCGGTGTCAGAAGATCGAAGGCTGGGGGGCAGTTGATGGGACTTTTCTGAAATGCTCCATGATGAAGACACGTGTCCTCGGTATTACCAAAACACTGTTGCTAAGATCAAGCACCATCGGCGCATAAAGGTCCTCGCCCCCGAGGTACTCGTCATATAGGATCATGGCATTCAGTACGTTTTACAACCAACACGTAGCCTCGGTCTGATATGGTACCTCGGTCGGTATCCCTCCCTCGGTTCCGAGATGAGCCTTTCCTCGGTGCCGAGGTGTACCCCGTCCTGGACGCTTCCTCTACTCCAGGATAAGCTATTGACGTACAGGTCATTAGCCTAGGCTAGTCTAGGCTATTCATCATGACCTCGTCTTACACAATTAGTGTCAGAACGTACTGGAATGCAGGGGTCACAGCCAATAGGGGATGGACGCGTGGCGTATGATATCACATCGAAGACAGAGAAATCGCATGTCGTTGCTGACACGCGACTTGGGAAAGCAAACGATTAATTGCACCATTCCCTTGATGAGACCGCATTTAATGCGGTAAGGCTCGGAAATGAAAAGCAATAAATGCTCCTAATACAGAGCATTTATTGCATCCTCCCCGAGAGGAGTACATTGTACCGTCGGCATCCCGATGACCCAACATTGATTGCTCGGGACCCCGAGCAGTTAAGAAGAGAAGACATTCCTCATCAGAATCAGTGCGCACACTGCCTGTACCTAATGATCACCTACTTACTACACTGACAACAATCATGAGCTTTTGAGGTATAAATACTCCTTGCAAAAGGCAAGACGGGTATGCAACAAAAAACTTTTACTACAATACACACTCAGTGTTTTCTCCTTCCTCTCTCTTTCTCAAAGACTGACTAGATCGTCGGAGGGAATACGCCGAAAAACACTCCGGCGCCCTTCTAACTTGTTCTTCTTTGTTCCAGGGACCTCTTTCAGCCTTACTGGATCGTTCTTCCGCTCCCCCAGGGTCTCCCTTTGCCGTTCCAGGTTACCACCGGACCTCGCAGGCTGTTCCAAGCAGCGTGGGTGGTCACTCAACTGGCTCACTCGAGTTCACCAAGGGAGAGATCTGTTCTCGTTTTTTATATTGTGCAGGATCTTGCACGCACAATTTCCATGCAATTTTCAATTCATCTAATTAATTTATCAAGCATCATAATTTGGCTCAATCTCCCTATTTTACCTGATAAATCAACCAAACAAAAAAAATGTCATCAAAACATAAAATCAATAGGATAAATAATAATTAGCTCAAAATAAATGCAATTCGTCAGAACGATCAAGTAAAAAATTGGTAAATTACATGACAAATCACACTCCACCCAAATACCAAAGCATGTTGAACACAATAAGGATGCTCTCTCTCTCTCTCTCTCTCTCTCTCTCTCACACACACACACTAGTTCTTCAAGAAGTATTAGCAGTAGCAATTTACGCCTGTTTTTCATCTTATTATTCAAGAATTTCTCACAAGATGCTGACGTATGGTGTATTTTTGGGTCAGATTCAGCAGCACATATAGTTGAGAATCGAAGAACCTGGAAGACCGCCGAAAATTATGTTCACCCCGAAACACAAAACATAGAGGGGGTGTTTGGATAGTGGGTTAAAGGTGGTTATCCACAAGTAGGATGGGATAAAATAGGAGTGGAACCCATAAAACCCATGTTTGGGAAGTCATTTTTAAGGGAGGATACCAATCCCGGGTCAAGGCTTGACCCGGTTGCTACAATCCCATTTAACCCTAATACGCCAATCACACTTAACCCCCCCCCCCCTCATGGGTTACAAACCCAGGCAATGGGTCACCTCACACACAGACGTATTTGCCCCTCTCATTCTCCACCCCCTCACAACTAGTGACGAATCTCTCTCTCTTGGCCACCATCAGACCCATCACTGCAACATAAAACCCATCACCAAATCGCGATGGCTACAACAAGAGACATCACCTGCACAATCGGTGGCCTATCCATGGTGATATGATAAATATGTACCAAGAAGAGAGAGAGAGAGAGAGAAAAACTGAAATGGGTTTGTTTTTCCCTTCTCTATGCAACTCTCTATTTTGATATTGTGGTGGTGGGTGTTTTTATTGTGGTGGTGGTGGTGGTGGCGTTTCTGTTGCAAGGGAGAAGAGCTCGATGGGTGTTGGTAGGCAGGGGAGAAAGATGGGAGTAGAGGTGGAGGTGGTGGTGGTGGGAGGGATGGGGCGGTGAGTTCTGGTGGCGGTGGTGGTGGCTTTAATGGTGGTGGTGGGATGTATATGGGAGGTGCAGACCTGGCAAACGATGGTTCTGGCTTCTGGCTTCTGGCTTTTGGGTTTGGGGATTTATCTAGGGAGAATTACACTTAGATCCTCAAACATATGTCATTGAATTATTCAAACTCATGATATTTAAAATATTAAACACAAATTCCTTCAAATTTATATGCGCATAATATTTAGATTTCTCAAAATTAATATATTCGTTAATAAATTATACTTAAATCCTTTTAAAGTTGGTAGTAGGTATATAATACTCAAACTCCTTAAATTTAAAATATTATACTTATACCAAAAATACTCTAATCAAAGACAGAATATCAAATATTATTTTACAATCAAAATTCATATTCTATTATATTATTTATTGAAATAAAATTAAAAATTAAAATTAAATTTTTCTTAAAAAAATGTAATTAATATATAATTATACTATCTATTGAAATAAAATTAAAAAATTAAATAAAGGGTCTAAATCATATATAATTTTTATATGTTTTTAAGTATATGTGAAAAATATATAATTTTATTAGGATAATCCACTGGTTCAAACATATTAAAGCAATGTTGTTTGTCTTTCTCCCATTGTAATCAATTTTTAAGAAATGAAATAAAGTGTTGATTTGTTTGGGAAAAAAAAAAATATATATATATATATATATATATATATATATATATATATATATATATATATATATATTTAACTTTCCTTATTTTTATATGTTTTTTATGTATATGTGATAAATGTATAATTTTATTAGGCTTGGATGAGTTAATCAAACATAAGATAGAATTTGTTTGAATTGGAATAGATAGAGTCATAAGTAAAACGATAAATTACTACAAAATTATTTGTGTAATCTATGAGGCCCACTAAATTATACATTTGTTTCCCAAACAAAGGTTAAGATTGAATATAATCTTGAATTAGGATTCTAAAATGAATGAGTGGGTTTGGCTTGAATTAGTTGGGATATAAAAAAAAAAAAAAAACCTACCCTATTCCACCCCATTACCCAAACACACCCAGAGTGATGGTCAGCAACTTTAATGCCCACTTTGTGATTGGGTTTGAAATCATTAGAGGTTGAAGCTTATGATATAAAATAGGGAGATTGTGGAGGTATTGTATAATAATATCGTGCACAGATATTACTTAAAAAAAAAAGAGAACAAAGTAAAATTTGTTTTTTTTCAACAAAATATATATTCCCGACGTTATCTTAATGCCAGTAAATTCCATAATCTTGCCGGCGTTTCTTAAACATCGGGATATCTGCTTCCGGCCACCAAATCCGACAAATGGTGGAGGCGTTTATCTTTTGTCGGGGAAACCGCCGACAAACATTTTCCGACATTTGAGTAAACGCCGGGAGCTTTCCCGATGCAGTTATAGGCGGACTTTTTTTGATATTTCCCGACGTTTGTCAAACGCGGGCAATCCCATAATTTCTTGTACTGTGTCTAACTTTCCACCTGCATGTAGGAATCCATATACCTGAATGGGGAGTGTCACATCTTGTCCTACATAATTTCCAAGCTCCCCAAACTATTATATAAGCATTGTCGAATTGTCTACTTTTTGTCTACTATCAATTAATTTTGAAATGAATAATTTAAACATGGTTCAATATCGTTATATCGGCTATCAACTCATAGAATTTTGAAACACATTAATCGTGGTGCAGTATTTGGCCATACGACCTAAAAGAAAATGTTGAACATAGAGAGAAATTCATGTCATATCGCGCAGTCATGAAATTGTATCGGCCTATTTGGAAATGATATTTTGACGACTCAAGATTAACTCGGATACAACTCAGACGAATCAATCGAGTTGTACAAGATTAAGCGTTTATATGTATCGTGTAACAGTGTTATCTCCTAAAATACCGAGATGGATACGACTCACCCAACTCTTATTGATATTGGCCAATACTTCAAATCATGGCTTTAAAAGTTCAAAAAAATGGATTATGGTCGTAGCTCTTTCTGGTTTATGTCCTGAAATATAAATGCAATTTATAAACTCTGCAGTGAAAATATTCAAGAAGCTTTAGAGATACTTTTATTCATCATGTGGATGAGAATGAAGACATAGCTTTCATATTGGATTTAACAAATTTAGCTTTGAACGAGAGCTGTGTACAACAGTTGATTCCAAGAATCAGGGACTCCAGCTAGACACCAATGGCTGCAGTCCATCTCTCTGTGCCCTCCATGTCCATAAACCGATGGGTGCCCATCTATCCTTAGTTGTGACATGCCAGTGATGTTGAGCAAATAGACTGGTTTAGATATTGACTGCAAAACCTGCTCTAGTACCACTTCCGCTGGGTGTGGCCCTCCCAGATAGTTCGGGCCAGGTAATGGCTGCGTTTGTCTCCCACAGTTCTTTGCATTCGATCCTGTACCACTGATTTGCAAAAAAGGGGAAGTGCAATAATGAAATTAGTTTTCTTAGTGAAAGGCAAAAGAATTAATCCAAAGATTATCAAGTGCATAGAATGATAGATAACATTGTGTAATCACTAAATTTACTATTTGAAATAATTTTTTTTTGAAGTTTTTAAGTAAAAGGGTAATTTTGTCGAAAAAGCAAGCACCAAAATTTCAAGAAAAACAATTTTATCATAAAAGGAAAAAAACGTTTTATTGTGCAATAGTGATGGGTATGTAAGCTGGGGTGTAAATAATATATTTATAAGGATAATTCTATGCATGTAACTAAACATGGAGGACAGAAAAACCCTATCAAGAAAAAGAAGAAAAATAAACCATACTTAAACAAGAACTTAAAAAGCCAAAAATAAAAATCAATGGAAATAAATTCATTGTAACTGTACCTACTATTTTACAAAAATAATTTATACATATTCTAGTATGTCAGTTTTATATTTATGCATATGTAAGGATGTACTACTATTATACATACAGCTAAGCTTGAAAGAATTGATCAGACTCGAACAAGGATAAAATGGAAAAGTAAAAACGCAAGCAAACACTACTTTATACTTAGAAAACAGAAAAAAAAAATGAGGACTTATAAAGCGGTCATCAATCTTACACAATTTCCTTTTTAATCTTTGAATGAAGTTTTCAATTCGGACCAATTGTCAGATAATGCAATGAACAAGAGCCTTGAAACCATGGCATTGAATTTTCCATTTGATAAGTTCGTAATTCTTATTGCATATCGTAGTAAGGCATGGTTCCAGTTTGTTCAAAACTTGCCTGGCATGATCTGGGGAAACACCCTGAAAGAACACTTTGGTCTTTCTCTGATCAACATTAGATTCTATCCATCTAGCCCATGTATTCAATGCTTTCCCGTAGGCAACCAAGCGGTCCATGTCTTTGTACGTAGCATTATCATCTTGAATAAGATCCCAACTGCAACAAATATCCAAGTAGAACCCTAATTAAGAGGAGTAAGCCCGACATTTGATGCTAACCATTACAGTTGATGTTCTTATAAATTTTTTAAAATACTAATGACTCTTGTGGCATCAGTGGTATCGAACTCCCCGTCCCAAAAAACAAGTCGGGTTTCGATCTTAACCGTTATTGTTGATGTTCCTATCCATTCTCCCCAAAAAAAGACTGATCATATTTCAATCTTGAATAAGATTTGAAATGCAACAAATTTTAAAATAGGACTCTAGCTAGAAGAATTAAATTTTAAGCTGGGATTTGACCTCGATCATTGTAGTGTATGTGTTACACCATCTCAAATTATCATCGACCCCTATGGAATGGAGGTATCCAAGTCTCCGTCCCAAATACTAGTTAGGGTTAGCTCAGTTCTTGCAGTTAAGGTTCGTACATAAACTCAAAACACCATCAACTCACGTGACATTGAAGGTATTCGAGTTCCCATCCCCAATACAAAATCGGTCCTCAAACCCAACAATTATAGTCAACATTCTGACACATTTTCCAAAAAAAGATTGGAAGTTCAAAACATATAATGAGCTAAAAGATGTCTTACGGTTGTTTCCTTCCAGTGTGAAGCCACCAATGCCATGAGTTGAAGATCAATGTGTCCATCCCTTGCCACACTTTACTAGTAGAGAGTGAGTCCAGTTTGAGAACCCTTCCACTTTTTTCGCTTATGATATCAACAAGAAAAGCATTTCGGAAGAACATGATTGAAGCATTATACATCTACATATAGCCGAATGCATGCAATTATGTCAGCACCATAGACATGATAATAATTTTAGAAATGAAATTGGGTCAAATATTCTCATAAATAATCGAGTTAGAATAAAAGTAGATGAAAACATCAAAAATATCCCATGAGCTAATTCAACAATGCTACAAACACTACATTCCTACACCACCTTTATGTACCATCTCAACATAGACCATTAAATTAGTATGTACCATTGAGTTTATTAAATATTTAATGACTCTGATTATATCACATCAGGTAGTGTCCTACATGGATGGTTGGAGTCGTCTATAATGGAGTGTCAAGTTAACCGTTAAAACTGCAAAACAATTTCCAGTTACGCTTAACTTTAAAGAAGTTTTGTCCATCATTATCTCTTCTGCTGTAAGCAAGAAAAATCTTTGGTGTAAATGATGGCTTGGTTCTATTTTCATAGTTGAATTCCCCATTACAGGTTGCAGTCGACAAGCATCATCTTGAATTTCGGAACATGGGTGGAAATCATGGTTTATAATGCAAAAACAGATATTCTATAAATGTCCGAGGGAAAAAATGTATTTGTTGTATTGTGTCAGCTGTCTCATCGTCAACGTGGTGTTATGTTCAATTGACTCAATCTCTGAACAACTCACTTATTATGCGAGTCTGGTAGATTACTTCAACTATGATATCAACATATGGCTAAATTATGAATGAAAATTGTACATAATTTTTTGTTGGATCGATGTAAAATGTGTAAACAATTACGTCATTATATTAGCTTCATGTCATCTCTAAGTCATGTAAATCTTGCCATATACCAATTGACTCAACTTGTGGATGATCAGTCCAATAACAAATAGATATAAAATGCTTGGATATGAATTTTACTTTAATATACTCGGATTATAATCGGATTGACCCATCAAACTCACTTAATGAGTCATGTGCTAAGAGTTGTAAACCCTATCTTATACATCTACTCTTCTGCAATACATCTTCAAGCCTAGTGGTATTTTTCTATCATTGGCTATTAATCTGTAAATTTGTCACAATCTCCATCATATGCTAATCTTATACAAGCCCATGAAACCAGGATTTGATAAAATAAGCATAAGTCGTTTTGAAAAGTCACATTCACAAATTTTGCCTTTTCATTTCGATTTACATTTGCCATCCATGTTTGAAACAATTGAAAAGTGTCTTTTTATGTAAACTTAAAGAAATTGACTTCCCATACATATTATTACATAACCAATCCAGACTGTTGAGTCCCTTTCTTTTTAAAGGAGTCTTATTTCTCTTGATTCGGAGACATCATGTACAAATTAAACACGCAACGTTATAAGCAGATTGCACACAATGCATAATGGAATTAGATAATTGGCGTATATGTGTTTCATAGAAGAATGTGGATAAACCCACAAAAATTATTTAGAGAGGGCAAGAGGCAATGGATGGAACCCTTGCAATCATGAAAGTACATTGAGATAGTTGATGATGATACACATAATGTATATGTGTGGAGATACACAAACATAGAAAGCGAAGTCGTTGCAGCATAATATGTGTTGGCATGTTGGGAATGGCTATGCTATAGAGTTGAGTACATAGTGGTAGCCAGGTTCTACAAAATAAAGTAATATTGTGATGACTGTAATATTGACACTTATTTTGGGTGAAATTGGAACCCTAAAAAAGAAGATATTGAAAAAAGGTAGATTCAATCCCAAACGATTCGAGTTTATGGCACTCTTACCCAATTGAATTGTAATATGTCCGTTATGATATAATAACTTTTAAAACTAATAATGCACCACGTGCATTATACATAAATAGTTTTCATATTCGAAAATTAGTTAAACATATTAAGTATAGGTGTATCTGAATTAAATATCATCTCAAATTTATCACACTTAATTTTTAATTGCTCATATTCTGTAATAAGATTATAAAAATTTTATATGTTCCCAAATTTTTTTATTCTAATTATAAGAAAAAATATTAAAAAAAGAAATAGTTAAAATTCTATTTTTTTTTTTAGAATTTTTTGAATGAGATTGATTTTTTATTGATATTTGATAAATTAAATTTTTTGAAATTCATTTTATTAGGATTCTTCTTATAATTCCTCAAATAAGATAAAAGTAATTATCAATATACTAATCATATTAGAATCTTACTGTAATTAAGAATTGTTTAGGTGAATTGGGATAAGATTTAATATACTACTCTAAAAATTTGAAAAATTTTAATTTTTACTTAAAATTTTTTTAAAAAAATTGAAATTAAAAAAAAATTAAGTTTTACTTAAAAATACACTACAATATATATTTTCCTAGAAAATATTAATACAACATAGAAAGTTTATTGTGACTAAATAATTGTATTGATGTACCATAAATTAATTTTAAAAAATTATATATATGATTATTTGTTATCTTAAAAATGAAGGGGTTAAACTTTTCGATTAAAAAAAAGTATGCATATGTAGACATAAAGCTATTTTTGCATATGAGATGAATAATATAAGATTAATAGAATTTTTGATGGTTTTTAATACATTTTATTGAAAATATAACGATACATATTTTTTAAGGGTAATATAGTCAATCAAAATTTTTTATCGAAATTGATATTTATACATATGAAATAAACAATTAAAAGATACGTTCAAGAAAATATGGAGATTTGTATATAATGATAATTTAGATATTTAATTGTGAAATGATATAGTCTTTGAAATTTTTTATAAGGAGAAAATAGGGATTCAAAATTTTTTTATGTTAAATTACTTTTATTAGTAGTATAAATATAAAAATTAACCCTTTAGGACCGTACTTTTTTTCATCCAATTCTTAAAAAGAATGTAGGTGGTAAAACATACAAATCGTGAACTCAATAGGGAACTATAAACTCACCGGGAATGTGAATCTGGACAGCCCTCCAATTCTCTCCGAGGTGTACTTAGCTTGTGGCACTGCTACATGAAGCATGCATGTGAGCGACTGCCATTGGTTTAGGCTCAACGAATCGCCAACAAACATGATGCGCTTGCCTTTTATTTTCAACAATAAATCTCTACCATCAAACCTACAATCAACGAGGAACCATGATACATTTTATTAATGTTTGTGCATTTAGAAAAGCCTTATTTTGATTAAAGCTGACAATTTTTAATATTTAACAAATTCAAAATCGTCAAATATTAATCTAATTCAAAGTCGACAAGAAAGTGCTGAGTACAAACTTAATTTTAATGAATTTAAATTATAACTAAATTCGATTAATAAATGAGTCTATACAGGGGTGTAGGAAGGGTGGGGGCAGTGGGGTTAATTGCTCTCATTGAAATTTTGAATTTTTTTAGGATTAGTTTAAAATTATAATAAAAATTAAATATTGTAATAACTTGCCCCCACTCTTTTATTAATGAATTAAAAACTTAGACTCAACGTTTAGTCATACACATTTAAAGTCACAATTTTTTTTTAGTCTCTTATTATCTTTATTTTTTCTGTAATGACTCACTTAAGTTATTGAATCAATCCTTCTCTGAATTCGATTACTAAGACTTAGATTAATATTTATGACCAAGTATCTAAGTTTGAATATAGTAAATATTATTCTAAGATTTTAAATTTGGGCATAAAAATTGTGACCTAATTATGATTCAATTTACTTCGATTCAATTTGATATGCATATACAAATATGTATATGTAAATATTTGATAAAATTAAGTGATTAAATTGAATTAAAATTACAATGTGATACGCACATATATATTAGATTGAATTTTTGATATAATTCATAATATTTAATGGATTATAAAAATAAAATTAGTTGAATAATTAAATTAGATTTCAAATAGTGTTATCAAGACAAATTATCATTCGTATGAGTCAAAATCTTATCATTGACAAAACTCATTCGCAAAATGATACGTCAAAATAACATTTCATATGAAAACTGTTTTTATTTTAGTACTTTATATCAAAAAAAATATTATATTAGTTTTTCTTAGTCAAGTAGTATCACTTTCGCACATGTATTTATACTTGAAATCTTTGAAAGTAAAAAAATAATAATATGAAGAATTATTTTATAAAAGTTGTTTGATTAGGAATATTTTTTGTAGAGAATGAAATTTTGAGAAAACAATCATGTTCACTAGATGCTATGAATTTTAATAATTGTTGTGTAGTCATTTTCTTAAATTTGATGGTTACCCCCACTGAAAAAAGATTCTGGCTCTATGCCTGAGTCTATACAAATTCAACTATATATGATTATAAATAAAAACAAATGTATTGTACAATGTGATTTTTACATGACACAAGCCCAACACAATACGTTCTTTTGTCAATCCGAATGGTATAAATTAAGGTGAATTAAAGAGCACTCAAAATAGAATTTTTCTAACTGAACAACTAAATTATTTTTTATGCAAAAACTATTCAAGTATTATAGGAGAGAACTCGACCATGCAAAATAAGACAACAATATTAGATGTATGCCCTCAAAATCAATTATTCATTATCAAATTCATCAAAGCTCACTAGTAAATTTGAATCCATTTCACATCTATCCAGGGAGACGCAATAATTTAAGGATCAATAATACAATTTTACTAAAAAATTTGAAATTAAGAGGATTCAAGTCCACAAAGAAAAAATAGGAAATGTGACTTGCACAAAAAAAGATGGCAATTGTGAATGAAAAAGCAACATTTCAACATAAATTGTCCCCATGTGGAGTGGTCATCGCAATAGGGCCGGGCCAAGTGTTAAAAAGAAAAAATGAATTTTAGGCTCTAAATTTTAAATACATAATTAGTCCATAAAAAAAATTTAAATCCATAAAAATTTTAAGGCTTACAAAAAGGCCCCAAAAAATTTAAGCCCAATCAAAAAATAATGATTTCAATAATTTAGATCTACAATTCAATTCATAACATTAGAAATTCAAAAATAAAAAATTTAAAAAACAAATACAAAAAAATCTAAAAGTAAACTCATATTTACTCACATTTATTCTCTCTTTTTCTCTCTTAAAAAACAAAAATAAAGTATCAAATTCTCTTTTCTCACTTCAAAAAAATAATTTTTTTTTTTTTTTAAAAATAATACTAAAAGAATAAATAAAATTATTTAATATTATCGCTTTAAATCTCAAATTACCTTGAACCGCCCTACATTGTAAGACCAATTTTCGGACGTGAGGATCCAACTGTCTTGGGACCTCAATACGGTGTATTATTTGGATTGAATGAGGGACTCGTGGTCCTTGGCTACTCAATGATGATGATTGTTTTGTCCGATAGAAATGACAAACAGAAAAAAGTGCAAACAGCTTAGAAGAAAAAAAGCAAACTAGGATCATTTGGCTTTTAAACAAAGTTATTTAGATTTAATTTATTGATCTAAGTTATTAAGATATTTAAATTGATTGTGAATTTCATTAAATATTAAAATTTGGTGTTAATTTAATATTTATAACAAAATTACATCATTAAATCAATAAATTAAGTTAGATTTTAAAATTCCACAAGTACTATTCTTTTTTTTAATAGGTAATTGACTTTATAGTTTGTATTCCCAAAAATAATTAGACCACCTACTCTTCAAAAAGCAAAACTGAAATAAAAATGAGCAGGTGAGATCGTAGCTCTAGCCATAATATATTAATCCCTTGATATAAAAAATAATGGCTTATAATCGATTATTATTTGACACAAAATTTAAAATAACACAATCTATTGATACTGTTAATAAATAAGTTAAATTCAAGTCAAATATGAATAACAAAATTTGAACATGACAAATATGTTTAACTAGTAATATAACCAGAAGTTTGATTTAAAAAAAAAACGAAAATTTCTCCAATTCATGATTTGATATATATCATACACTATAAAACTAGGGAATTTACACTTGTTTTGCTAGCATCTGAATTAAATGACTATAGTTTAAGTAGACCTACAGTTGGTGGATTTGGTTTAGAAATAAGTGATTTTACCCTTGTCAAATCATGAATCGGAGAAATTTCTGCATGTCACCCAAGCATAATATGACTAATAACCATGTCTGGTTATTGTCATGGTATCTGACTTGATCAAGTAAATGGGGTTAATCAAATTAATAATTGATGCAAATTTAAAATGATGCGATCTAGACATAACATGAGACAAGGTGACACAAATCTACTCCCACCCCACTTTTAAGGTTTTAGAAAAATCTGTATGAAACCACAAGATGTTGGGATTGCTCCAATGATACTCCGGTTAATAAATCACTTTGGTACTATTTTGTTGAAATCAAGAGGATTAAGCAATTAAATAGAATGAAGTAAAAGAGGATATAAACACTGAAAGAACAAAAAAATCATTCAAGTTGATTACAAACACAACTTGGACTCTTCACATTCTCACTCAACTCTACTTGCTTATGGCAGTAAGTCATATACTCTATTTAAATGGATCATACATATAACCCCTATAATTACATTAAGGTACCATTAGACCCACTAACTCTTATAACTTCTAAAATATTAAGACACCATTACTTAGGGAATCAACACACACTAATAATATTGTATTACACTACTTGCATATTCCTTACCCACTAACATACAGTAAATTAACATGCCTTAATAATATAAGAAAACTCTAAAACAAGTTTATTTCCCAACATTCCCCTCCTTAAACGTGATTTTGCACCTTCAAGGTGGGCTTAGTGTTATTATTGCAAACTTCACAAACTTTAGTACCAATTCCTTCAATAGCAAGAATCGTCAAAGTCATCCATGCGGTGTAGGGCTTATGATAAATTTTCTTTCACTTGCAAATCATCTTTATTTTGCTAATTTTCTTCTTTAACTTTATGTTAACTCTCTTGGATCAAAGAATATCTCCATATTCACACAACTTATGTCACTCAAAAAATTCTTTACACCAAGTTGTAAATAAAAAGTCATGTAATTTTCAAAAAAGTCATCACCTCAATTGGGACTTTCAAAAATCTCAATATGATGATCTTCACAGTGATTTGTAATTGGAAAGACATCTTTCAAAGTTGCTGCATAAGAATTCATTTCAACTTTCTTAACCACGATAAGATCCTCGATTTCTTTTTCATTCCTTACAAATTCTTCAATTTTTTTCACCGTTGTTTGATCATATTTGTAATTGGTTAATTTTGTGGAGTTAATTGCAAAATTTCAATATATTCCATGGTTATGGTACTAACAAGTTCAAGATCAGAAAGAGACATTGAAAGAAGAAGATTAAGCATCAAAACAACATCATTCAACCTCCATATGCACCTTTGTACTTAGAACAAATATAATAAACTCATTGGTGCATACATATCGAGTATCATTGGCGTGCCCATGATTGCTTGAGTCCTAGACGAACCGTACGACGGAGAGGTCTAAGTGAAGCTACACTAGACGTCGAAGAGGGCCCTTTGGCGAAGAGACAACAAGGAAAGAAGCATCTAATCACGGTATTGATTGACGTATAAGTATCGAGTACTTGTATGTTGACTTAACAAGTTGTGGATTAGCTTTGGTGAACTCCAAATGATTTCTCACGACTTTTCCATGAGAAGGATTTTCGCACCAACAAATTACTTGTATTATTTATTGATTATTGTATGTAATTGTGATTTTTTACACACAAGCACACTATGTGTTTGTTAATTTGATTCTTTGATCATCCATTTAACCATAGTTGTGTAAATTAAATTTGGGGTATTGAGATCGCCGTGAGATTGATTATGAGTGAATTAATTGAATATTAATTAAAATCAAATGTCATGAGTTGTGGTGATTGAAAGTGGTTCTCACATTATTAAAAAATCTTCGTGGGAAGATGTGTAATGGGTTAGGTTTTAATGGGCAATTAATTGTGCTAAAATTGAAAACCTATTTACCCCCTCTACGTATAGTGTCTTGAGCTCCAAGTATATAATTGTGAGGGAAGATACACATCGGGTTCCCCCTCCTGAAATAACAACATTTAAATAAAGTTCTTCATGAACTTTT